CTTTATAAGGTAGGTTTAAGCGTAGAATAGTAGTCTAGGTGAAGACTTAGATTAATCGATATCTTATTCTCTAGTAGAAGTAAGACCTAGAATACCCTAGTATATATATCCACGAGATCACGAACGCCCTAGTGATCCCCTAGCCGGGGATCACACTGGATCACTTCCTTAGCTAAGTGATCGTTAGTGATCCTAGTAATCCGTCTATACTAGTATATTCCTTATACTAGCGCCGGGCGTGCCAGTCTACCTTCCTTGGTTATCCATCACGTGACTTAACACGTGATATTATCCTGAGTCATCCTCTGGTTGCGTCCTGGTACGTTGCATACCGGTGCATCCCTTGTGCTGGTTCATGTTGGGCCTGTTGGCCGTAACACGGGGCTCCCGCCACCACGGTAAGGTAGGATCTTGCCCCGCCATCGGCTACAGCACTTCGTTAAGGTAAGGTAGGTACCTACCGTAGGTACGGACGGACCACGGGGGGGCTATTGTAAGGTACGGATATCAAAGTACATCTCTATCTGAGGTAATCCATGTTTGGTGCCTTTGTTTGCGGTGGGCCAGCCCTCGCCCTCAGAAACTTACCTCCGAAACCTCCCAAGGTCCAACTGATGCCGTCGAGGTGCGACGATAATCACGACTGTTTGTTTGTACAATCTTCACCTTAACCCTATGTACGAACACCGAATCATGTGGCAACTAAAGACTCTCGTCTTTGACGACAAACACACACACACACACAGAGAGAGAGAGAGAGCCATGTCTCATCAGCCATCGTCATACAGTTGATCGCATGTGAATGCCTTCAAATCACGATTACCACTAATTATTCCAATCCTAGAATTACAAATAGGACTACGTACCACTGTCTGTTGCTCCATCCACTCCTTCACTCGTCCACCTGTTGCCCTCCCTCCTCGCACTCACAACATCATCCCCCATCTCGAAGGGCCAGTGAGTGGTATCATGGTATCACGGTATCATTCCCAATTCATTAGACCGTCTCCGCCATTTCAACCTTGTTCTTGGCCTCCTGTGCCGCCGTCATCTTCTCCGGCTTGCCACTCTGTAGCTTCTTGGCCACGTTCTGGCTCAGGTACTTCTCCATGTTCGGCACCAGGATCGAGCTGAGCAGCAGGACCACCGAGAACGGGATCGTCGTGTAGAACACCATCCGGAAGCTTTCCGTGTACACCATCTTCGACGCGCTGGTCACCGCCGAAATGACGCTATCGGTGATGCCCGGCACCGCGCTGAAGTCTCCTGCACCCATCGACACCAGCAGCGATTCGACGCTCGACTCGGGCAGTCCGGCCTCCGTCGCCGCCTGGCCTATCGCCTCCGGCATCCGCTTGGCCAGCTCGTTGTTCAACACGGATCCGTACAGCGCTTGGGCCACGGCGCCTCCCATGCCACGAATGGATCCGAGGATGCCCGTTGCCAGGCCGATGTCCTGCGCCTCCCAGAGGAGTGTAACGCCGGGGAAGGAGATGTTTTCGACGAAACCGATGGCTGTTGTGACATGGTTGTTAGCTTTGCTGAGAAGGGAAAAGAGGAAGAAGAAGAAAAAAAGGAAAAGGAAAAGGAAAAGGAAAAGGAAAAGGAAAAGAAAAAGAAAAAGAAAAAGAAAAGAAAAGAAGCTTACCCGTGCAGACCACGGTGCCTAGGGCAATGGTAACCGCCCACCGATCCTCCGAAATGGTGATCATGGACGTCATAAACGCCAAGGAGATGGCGCTTGCGGTGATGGTCTGATACTTGACCTTGGGCACGTACGAGATGCAGAAGCCCGCGATGGACTGCCCCAACAGCATGCCGCCACCCACCACGGAGCTCTGCCAGCCAATCTCCATCGAGTCGGTCGTGTAGATGGATCCGATGATGACGGGCCACAAGACGGTCAGGGAGTAGTACACCATAGATCCGATGGTGGCGATGGTCACAATGGCCGAGAAGCCGATGTTCCTGAACATTCTGGGAGGCATCAGGGGCTGCACCTTGCAGAAGTGACCCTCTGTAGGATCGATGCAAGTAAGTAGTCAGCTTCATACCCTTTGCACAGTATTGCGGGACAAAAAAAAAAACAAAAAAAAAAAGAGGGGGGAGGGGGAGCGAGATAACGTACCATAAACGATAAAGGCGGCTACCAAGGCAACACCAATGAGCAAGGTGCAGAGCGTCTGCGGGCTCGCCCAGGGGTACGCCACCCCTCCCCACGACAGGCCGATGAGGAACAGGACGCAGCCTGAAACGTAGAGGAAAATGCCCACGAAATCCAGGTCCATGGTCGTCTGCCACACGGTCTTGCCCTGGACGTGGAGCTGGTCGTATGTGGGCGGGTGGTAGAAGAACCAGTAAAGCACGAGGGCGATGACGCCGAGGATGTCGCCGAGGAAGTAGCTCCATCGCCACTTGGACGCGGTGTTCTCGAAAAACGTCCGGGCGATGACGGGACCGAACACGGCGAAGGGGAGCGACGACAGGAAGATCAGGGTGATGACGGGACCCCTCAGTTTGTTGGGGACGAGCTCGCCGATGAAGATGCCGAAGGAGAGCTGGCCGGCCGCCGCGATGCCGTTGCACAGGTTGGCGGCGATGAGCATCTCGACGTTCTGTGCGGTGGAGCCGAGAATGCAGCCGATGAGGCCGAGGACGGTGGTGCCGAGAACGATCCACCGACGCCCGTACATGTCGGAAAGACGGCCGACGAGGAGGAAGCCGATGGAACTTCCCATGGTCCAGAGGGTGGCCACCCAACTGATATTCGCGGAGGGGCCGAGCTCGGCGTTGATGAGCATGCTGGAACAATGGCGTGCATGTCAGCAAGGAGACGGCCTAACCTTGGAAGGGCTTCTACATGACCAAGGTATATATATATATATATATATATATATATATATCCAGGGGACTGACTCGTTGGGCAAACAGTCGAAGGAGTGAAACGTACAGAGTATTCGCCGGCAGAACCCAACCTAGGTATGCGCAAATGCTTGCCAAGCATTGTGCCTGAAATCATCGAGTTAGTCGAGTTCACCCAAGCAGGGGAATAAAATCGAGATCGGGGGGGATGGGGCCCACTACATACGATGAGAGTGCAGATGAAGTTGGCGCTCAGGAAGTATCCCTTGGGCATCACCTCCAAGTCACCACCGATAGCTTTGGCATCGATCAGGTCAACGGTACCGTCGGTATGTACGACCCTGGCGACCTCGCCGTCCCTGAGAAGGCCGTCGACGCCCTCGGCATAAACGACCTGGCTCGGCTCGTCAGCCTTGGTATCGGCCCCCGTGGCCGGTTTCTCCCCAGAGGACATGGTCGATGGTTGCTCCAGAGACACAAGGTGGTGAGTGAGTTGAGTTTTGAGATTTGGTAAAGCTCACGATGACTGGAACAAACAGGTGGGTAGCGGTACTGAAGTGGGAAAGATGGTAAGGGACAGTGAGTAACGACTCAACAGTAGAGAACCTGGAATTCGTCAAGAGGGATCGACGACGGATTATGTAGGGAATCATGCACGTCGCTTGAAGAGCAAACAAACGTGCATGGGCTTCTCGACAACCAGCCAGACCCCTGCCTAAGCTAAGGTAGAGTTACAACGTATCTACCTACCTTAAGGTAACGAAGTACAGAGTACAACCGTCGGTCCAAGCATCAGTACGGATACAGCTAAGCCACATTATTTGCTGGAGGTTGAAACCGGTGTCGAGTCTTTTCGATAAAGGGGGACGGTGGAGTTGTTGGCACAAGCTTGCGGTCGCGTGGCTACTGGAGTCCGGGCGGGTTAGCTCGAGGAGCTCGCTCCAAGCGAGCCAAGGAAACAAGGAGGGCGTCAAGGACTCGAGCTCAAGAAATGCGAACAAACGCAACATATTGCCCGGAGTATTACATCGGGATGGACGCTAGTCCACATCTCGCCGCCACGCGTTGTGGGGGGAGAATATATACGTACTCCGTACTTCGCACAGATACCGACTACCTTGTCTTTGTAAAGAGGCTTGCGGAGAACTCCAGACGTACGGATAGATGCCAACCAAGTCAACGTACCAAACTACCAGACGCTCCAGGGCATCTCAGTCCGGTCGGCGTAAGCTCCATAAAGAATATGGAAGTCTATGCTCTATTCGGGAGAAAATCGCGGGGAAAATCCGGGGTTCCCCCTCCTCCCCCGTGCACCATAACCCCTTAGCTTACGGCGGCTCCTCTTAACTCGTAGCGCGTGTTGGCATTTGGATAGGTCGCCGACGAAGAGAGGGCGAAAGGGTCCCGAAGACCAACCCAGAGAAGGGTATCCCGGGCATAGGGACAGAGGTGCACGGATGATATGATAATCTCGGAAGCATAATCTCTGAAGAAAAGTTGGTTTGAGGAATTCCACCGTCTTTGGGCAGAAGACCACCTAAATCGACGAATCCATTCTGACAGTTAAGAGATGAGAACGGACGTCGCCGTGACCGACGGAAAAGGGGCGCACGAGTACGTGGCGAGAAACGAAACGAAGAGGAAAGGTCGTGGTTTCGCAAGGGATTTTGGAAAACTAATTCCGGGGAGGCACCTACCTTATAATAACGGTGCGGAAAAGTCCCTTCTGCAGTCTCACTGTGGAGCCGGAGACGTCTCGAAACGGAACGGTGCACACCTAAGGGTGGAACTACCGACCTACCTGAATTAAGGTACCTAAGGTATTCTATACCTTATTACCTTAGGTACCTTCCGTTGTAGGTGGCTGCGGGGTCCCGCGTCTCTAAGTGGGATCGTGGGGTATCTGGGGTATGACCAAGCCACTTCTAATTATCTCGGTAGGGTACCTTATAATGAGTACGCCACGTGGTAACTTGTGTATCTTTGTTCATGAGATGGCCTACATCGCGATATATCTACTACATCTCAACGCACCATAGCAGCAACGAGCTGAAACCACACAGGAATGTCAGGTGTGCCGTGTACGGTCTGACTGGGGTATGGTGAAGTAGTCTGCGTTGTCGACGAGCGATCTTGATAGAGGAAATCCAGGGGCTCCGTCCATAAGAAGCGTCCCAGAAATATTCCCACTCCGTACGCAGATCCGACATCAAAGCCTTGGCGACTATTGTCTAATAGCTTTACGGCTTCGAGTATCGTATCTACCTGTAAGGTAGTCAAGGCGCGAGTAAAATACGAATAAAATACGATTACGAACTCGTACCGTAAACTCGGTACCGTTGCAGCGAGCATCTCCGATCTAACCAGTAGATCACACGGGGGGTTCGGATGCCCGTAGCACACATCGCACAGACAACACACTCTTTCATCAAGCCAAGCTTTCTTTACCGCCAGGCAGCTTGTAATGAATCATGTAGTCATACGTTAAGTCCATCTCCTGAATCGCTTCGTTGCTCTAGCGTTCCAGACAGCAGCCACTCCCGTTGCATTGACATGCATCGACCTGCATCGACATGCACCGACATGCACTCCCCATCTCCAAGTCTCAATAGCAAATCCACTCTTCCAGATCATCGCCCTTCTTCTGGCTGTCATATTCGTCATGTTCGTTCCACACTCGCACAGGAGGCATCTGCCTGAGAGCAGCTCCCAGAGATCACCATCGCAGTGTCTGAAGCTCCAGGATATGCTAGTCCGGCCAGGGAGACAGTTCGACGTACTGAACGAGAGACGGAGAGAGATGGAGCGGTAGAGCTTTCCCAGGCTTGACAGACGAACTGAACTTCACCGCCGTCCCCGAAAGTGCCTGTGCCATCGTAAAGCACGTATTCAGGCCGAGCCAGTCAAAGAACTAATAATCAGCACCACAAATCAGCCCTGCAACTACTCAAAAACCGCCACACGTTATTTCTCTATTATTACTCACCGGATCTCACCGGAAAGTCCATATCATCTGACAATATCCATTGAAATCGCTGTCCGTTCGTCCGTCCTATACCGCTCCCCGGGAAACGTCTCCCCAGGTTGTAGTTAATGTGGGGTAATTACCTCTCCTACCCCCAACAGCTCTCCTCTCGACCCCTCAAAATCCCGCCATCTCGGAGGCCCAATAAAATCGACACTACGGAGCAGCATTGGAACTTGGCGTCCCAGCAAGTTATTCCTTGACAGCCCTAGCGCAAAACCACGCCCCAAGCTTGCCCAAGAGCTTGGCCAACGAGGAGGCGTCTCTTGCTTATTACTCCGTTCCCAGAACCTACCTATCGAGCTGCAAGTCTCCATTCAGGTCCGTCCGTGTATGATAAGTGTCATCGAATTCCTGGCTTGGCTGGGGGCGGCTGCGAAGACGTCTAGGACAATACCATACTTTCAGTCGAGTCGTCGACGCCTTCTTTCTCCCTCGGTCCGTCCGTCCAGGCAATGCTTACCTTTGAGGTGAGCCCCTGAACACCGGATGAACGTCGACTTAGTTCACTGAGGACTGGGGCAGGCGTTCGCCTTGGGCACTGCATAGAAGCGCAGTCTAATTAGCCTGAGAAGAAAAGAATAATGCTACCCACGTAGGAGAGATTAAAATGCCCTGCTATACACAGGAAAATTCCCAAAAGGCGTCCGAATGAGCCACAGACCCAATACCAAAAACCCAAGCATAAGATAACGATGATGATGGTAACGATGACCATAATGATGACCCGTCAATCCGACTCACCAATAATGGGCCGGTCTACGGAGACCCTGCCATTGCCCGTCCCAGCAATATGGTTGTCGACATAGTATACCATGCAGCCAGCCGGCCGGACCCCGCCATGACGCCTGAATATGCCAACCTTAAGTCTAAATAATAGTACCGCGTCGCCTCACGCCCGAACGGGGCAAAGTGCGAAGTGTTAGGGGGGAGGACCCCAAATCCAAACCCCCCCGAAACAACCACGCCACGAGAGACGCCTTGAGTTTCGTTCGAGTTCCGTTTGTCCCGTACGTTAGGAGTTTTCCGTAGCGTGCGAACAATAATAATAGTGAAAATAAACAACGGCTTTTCTGGTGTGTCTTTTATGCGGCGCTCGAGGACCTGCGATTGCGCCCCGGCTTGTAGAGATGAAACTGGACGAAGATGACGCTGTCCTCGACAATTGTGCCGAGAGAGCCCAGAAGCCACGGTAGGGCGCGGACGAGATAGTCTTTCTCCTGGGAATACGCTATTAAACTCGCGCCGTATGCAGCGTTTCCAGTGAGGGAGAGGAGGAAAAAGAGCAGCGCGAGCCCCTCACACGACTTTTCGCGCCAATTCTTAATAATCTGCGGGATACGTGCACTAAGCGAGTAACGTTAGTAACGTTAACCTAGCTGAACTCGACCGCTCTCCCCCTTCTTCCTTGCAAGTGCGCCTCGAGAGCGTTTTAACGTACCAAAGATACAGCGCCGCGCTGATGTAGCCCAGGACCAAGCCGATCATCGTGACTGCGTCCTTCTCCGCGGGCGAGTCCGGAACTGGCAGGTCTGGATCCGCATCCCAGGCCCCGGCCTTGTACGAGATGAACCAACCGAGAATCCCGACAGAGTATACGGCGACAAGACTGAGCGTGTTGTATAGCCACGCCTTACCGCCGGAGGTTTCGTCCCCGCCCGTCACGATCTTGCGTAGAGGCTCGGTTTCGGCATGAATCTCTCGGCGTCTCTGCGACCCTGAAAGGCTGGAGGATGAGGGTCGGCGTCGCTGCTCGGCCAAGAGAGGTTGGGTCTCCCTCCAGTGTGGTTCGGTGTGGTGGTGGTGATGCGACTGGCGGTGTCGCGCCGCACGACGAGCATTCTTGGTGTTGTAGTAGAGACATTGGGTGATAAGAACAAGATCGGCAAAGCAGAAGTAGCAAGCCAGGGCAATCGCGGTTGGAGCCAAGCTGGTGAAGAGGGCACCTAAGGGTAGAAGGTAAATTGGGTCAGCGATAATGAACACATCTTCCATGGATCTGGAAGGGTAATTTCCAAGATGGTTCCCAGAAAAGAAAGTAAAAACGCCAATAATCGAGCAAGCACCTGTGGTTCCGTATATATTGAATGACTCGAACAGAAGGGCCGTGACTTCCATTCAGAGTAGGCCGGAACAAAAGGTTACTTCGTAGGTATGTTCGCGGTCGACCAAGGGCGGGATCACGGACCTGCAAGGTTGGTAGCATCGCCCAACAACCAGATAAAGAGAAAGCCCATCGAGAGGCCATCGGCACTTTGAAGCTTGTAGTTGGCGATAAGTTGAGGAAGCTGCAAAGAAGTCGCCGCCGTCAGTTACGAACCCACACTGGCTCTGGAGCCGCGGTGTCAATTGAACTAGGGCGTGGAGTGGTTTACCAGAAGACAGATCCATGCAGTCAAGCTGATGCTGCCAAAGATCCCGGATAACGCATCTTTGATCGAGGGTGCCTGCGATAAGGCCTTGAAGGCCATGGGCACGACGGAAGCCATGGTTGGCGAAGAGCCTGCCAGGGTGGATTGGGAAGAATGAAACGGGTCGCGGATCGCGTCAGGACCTGCTCGACCCTTTTCCAAGTTTTAAAAAGCGAATATGGGAAGAGTTTCGAGTCAGGTGGTGGGCGGAGGGCTGAACAAAAGTCACAAGCGCCCCCTCCAAAGCCAAAAGGAGGGAGGCGGTCACGTAGTGGGAATCGTTATCGGTGTGGTACGGAGTACGGAGTAAATAAGGTAAGGTAAGACAAGGAAGGTAGTGGTGCGCCGTAGTGTCTTATCGTAGCCAGTCAGAGATCGAGTTTCGAATGCGAGTGACCGAGATAAGAAGACTTCTTTTTGTTCATCCGACTTCGAACACACGTAGCAGCGGCAAGGCTGAATTCAAGGTGGCTCATGGATAACTTCGTATGTTCGGACTATCGATACGACAAACGGGTGAAATGGTTGATAACCATGACGTTCGTCGCTCACAACCTCTTGTCCCTTCTCCGAATACTGACGCGTCCGGTTTCGGGGGCAGAATCACGGTATAGACCAATCACATCAAGGGTATTTTATCTTAGCTCAATTCATTCCAAGAGAAGGTACGATGCACCTATATTACGTAATTCGCCAACAACTAATGTGCACGAGACGATTATCCGATCCGTTCGTGGATGGGTTCTCGTCGAGGTTTTACTTTACCTCTTCCTATCCTCTGTCCAGAATCGTGGACATGCAGCAATGCCATAACCAGCGAACACGGATCTCACTTTCAAAGAGCAACTTCGACCATAATCAGACCTGCATAGCGGCGTGTTAGTTGGTCCCATCTTCCAAGGGTCGGTTCTTGAACACGTTCGGCACGTGAAGCCTCCCGTCTCCTTCTAGACTAAGGTATCTCCCTTCAAGGCCAACCAGGTGAACGACCATGCTCGTGAAATTATCGGACGGTTCGGGTATATGGACAAATTAGCAAGAAATCATACCCCGGACTATCTAGAGGTCCTGCTTCAAATGGAACTTTGCACGTCAGATCGACACTCCACTCAAGTCTGTAAACTCAGAGAATTGCTCCTCATGCGGCTTGCGAACTTGGAGGGCTTGTCTTTCCATCGAAGGCAACTCGACGCTGCATTCATCGCGTTGACTTCGCGGCGAATTGCAGCGTTGTTGCCCTAGGCGCTCCATCAAAGACCCTTGGGCTTATCTACGAGCGGCTGCAAAACTCACTACTGCATACTTCTCCCCCCGAACACATGGAGTCAAAGCCGGAACTCCTCGAAGAAGGACTCGTTCAAGCCTGATGCAGATCCTCTGCAGCTGAGATATTAGGCACTTCTCCACGCAGTGTTATCCCCCGACTTGAAATCTGATTCGTTGCTCCCACGGCCTGCAGCCCTGATTGGAGGACATCGCCTGCGAGTTTTGTTCGAGACATAGTCACATCGCCGTCGATGTTGCAGCACGATGCAATGGAAAAACCAGTCGGATCATTGGCGGCTGCCTACATATGCTGCGAAACGACCATTTCTTCGAGTTATCTCTTAGGCCTCTCATGCAGCACGGCAGCCTACTACTCAACCCTACACCAACACGCATAACGACCTTGACGTGGAAGGCTCCAGACCCATTACCCCAACTGTCGAGTCATCTCTTAGGCCTCTTATGCAGCACGGCAGCCGACTACTCAACCCTACACCAACACGCATAAAGACCTTGACGTGGAAGGCTCCAGACCCATTATCTCAACTGGAGGCTGACGGGGCTACGGTAATGTGTGCTTTGAGGCCCAAGAATTTGCAGGATTGTTTCACCGAGGCCAAGGCCCCAAGGAGCAGCACCGCGCAAGAATTCGGTGTCTGGACATGATTCTGTTGGCCCGGACATGGCTTGTTTGTTCCCCCGGCTGCTGGCATATCCTTGGGCTCCTGAAACGATCCTGGCTTGCAGTATGTTCCTCCTCTGCTTGTTTCCAACACTTCCACGGCGGCGCAGCTGGATTGCCCGACGGCAGTTTGACAGTGACTCGAAAGCACGAGCCGTTGAAAGCACGCAGAGGCTCGCTATATCAAGGCGTCTGTCCCATCAGGTTTATTCTCACATCAGACAGTCGCACCCATAATCGCTCGAGCTTCTTCTCGTTGGCCATCTTACTCTGTCTCAAGCGCCTTTATACACACCCACCAACTAGGTCCAATGACGACCGTGGAGCTCCAGTCGAAGGAGCATCGTGACCTTCTCGACATCATCGATCGTCTACGGTCCCAGGGGATCAGCAAGTATGTCGACCTTCCGGGGATCATTGTTTGCGGTGACCAGTCAGCCGGCAAGAGCTCTGTACTCGAGGCCATTTCCGGCATGTCATTTCCAACCAAGGATAACCTGTGCACGAGATTCCCCACCGAACTGGTCCTGCGGCGAGACCCTGCCAGCAAAATCGATGTATCCATAATCCCCGGTCCCGAGAGATCTGGCGAAGAGAAGGAGTATCTTTGCCGCTTCCCGCCCCCTCCTGTCGACTGGGCCACGAAAGACCTGGGTCCGGTCATCGAGTCTGCCAAAGAGAAAATGGGACTCTCTGGAGCCAAAGCTTTTAGCACCGATACGCTCCGCATAGAACTGTCCGGTCCAACGCAACCACACCTCACCCTAGTCGACCTGCCAGGGTTGTTTCGGGCGGGAAATAAGGAGCAGTCCGTCGCCGACGCCGAGACAGTGGAGAAGATGGTCCAGGATTATATGAAAAGACCGCGAAGCATCATCCTGGCCGTCATCTCCGCCAAGAGTGACTTTGCCCTTCAGAATATCACCGAGCTGGCGCACAAATGGGACCCCGAGCGAGTCCGCACCATCGGTCTAATTACAAAACCCGACACCCTCGAGGTGGGATCCGAAAGCGAGCTCTCTTACCTCAAACTTGCTCAGAACAAAGACGTCGAGTTGCAGCTGGGCTGGCACGTCCTCAGAAACCGGAATTTTCACGAAAAGGAATCGACGCTCCAAACACGAAATCAAGTGGAGGAACAATTCTTTTCACAGGGCATCTGGAAGTCGCTGGATTCAGGGCTTTGTGGTGCCAAGTCTCTGAAAGTCCGCCTCAGCAACGTCCTAAAGGATCAAATCATAAGCCAACTGTCGGGACTTCTCCAAGACGTCCGTGGAGGCATCGTGGATTGCGAGGCGAAGCTCGAGAGACTTGGCTCCCCACGAGAAACCCTCTTAGATCAGCGCCGCTATCTTTCTAGGATCGGGCAAGACTTCTCGAATCTGATGAAAGCCGCAGTCAATGGCGCTTACGAGGGCCCTTTTTTCGGGGGCGCCAAAACCGAGGAGGGGTACCGGAAGCGTCTGCGCGCCGTCGTGCAGAATAGGCTGACCGAGTTCGCCGAGGGGATGCGCGAGCGTGGACACACCCGCCATATTCAAGACGACCCCTTAGAAGACGGTCAGCTTGACGGTCCCGTCAAGCACCATCAACAAAACGCCATTTCGCGCTCTGCCTATGTTGAAGAAGTCAAAGGCCTTATGAGCAGGAGCCGAGGGCGAGAGCTTCCGGGTACATTCAATCCACTCATCATCAGCGAGCTTTTCGTCGAACAGAGCCAGCCCTGGAAAGACCTCACCGCCGGCTTGAACCAAGACATCCTCGAATCTGTCCACGATGTGGTTCGGGACATAGTAGTTCATGTGGCTGCCGAGGAGACTGCGAATGCCATTTTGCGCTTTGTTGATGAAGGGATCGAGTCGTTAAAGGAAGATCTGGACCGAAAGCTAGACGAGCTCCTCGACCCTCATTATTCCGTCCATCCCATCAGCTACAATCACTACCTCACAGACACGGTCCAAAAAGCACAGCATGCCCGCCGAAAGCGTGCCAATGAAGCGACGCTCGTAAAATCCCTTGGCCTAGGTTATCTTGACAGGAATTATGCTCTAAAGGGTAGCGGGATTGTCGCCTTGCTCGACTCGCTCGGAGAGGGTGTGCAAGCGGATATGGATCAATTTGGTTGCTCGTTGGCCGTTGACTATATGCAAGCATACTATAAAGTAAGCAACACACATACATATATGTCGATTCTCTCTGCTGACCCACTGAACTACAGGTGGCGTTGAAGAAGTTTGTCGACAATGTGAGCGTTCTCGCCATCGAACAATGTCTCATGCAAAAACTGCCAGATCTTTTCAGCCCCGCGGTGGTTCTGGACTTGAGTGACGAAGATATCTCTCATATGGCCGCGGAAAGCGAGGAGGCCAGCGCGGAGCGAGCCCGGTATATCGAGAAGCGAGACGTTCTCCAGGCAGCACTGCCCAGCTTGGCCCGCTTGACCAAACGACGCTCACGAGTGGCGGGTAAGCCGGCTCTCCATTTCGGTGTCCTCCCAATCAGATCTTCCATCCTTCCTAACCTTTATTGCCAAGAATTAACAGAACAGTCAAACCGCTTCACATCGAATGGAGCTCCCTCGCCCCGGCCTACGACATCGACCCGAGCTCAAGCCGATTCAACAGATACCTCAGCAGGTCTGGAAGCGCATTCTAGATCTGGGTCCGAAAAGCCGCTGTTACCAACGGTAAAAGCAGCGGCGGAATCGTACGGAGAGAATGGCGCGGAGACTGAACTTGGACCACCTGAACTTGAAGAGCCTTATCCTGAAGAGCCTTATCCTGAAGAGCCTTATCCTGAAGCACCTGAACCTGAACCCCCTTATCCTGAACCTGAGCCTGAACCTGAACCTGAACCACAGAATGAGTGGGCATTGCCACCTCAAGTCGCGGTGTATGATTCGCAGGAGGTTGTCCCACCACGGCTAAAGGGGAAAAAGAAGAAGAAGATCAAATCAAGTCGGATAAACGACGAACCACCGCCTGTGGAAATAGTGGAAGCGTCGCCCAGACTGGTGCCTGTAGCAAGTTCTTATGAATACTGAGCAGAAAAGGGCCACGCAGCTTCTCTGTCGACGCAATGTCTGAACACCCGAACGTCTTGGTTTAAGATGGTAACTCACACACGTCGTGGCCTGATGTTAAATTTTGCGTACGGACCGAATCGCCCTCCTACTAGCAGACACGATTGTCATTAAACCCCAGAGAGTAAACGCGATGCAATATGATTCTGCTCGTCAGATCCCCTTGCGTAGGTTGCTTAACAGAACCAAAACTATGCTGGATACGGTGCAAAGATCCGGCGGCCTCTCATGGCTGGAGTCAAAGAGGACCATCTCTGCCAGCCCTGGATGCTCTTGCTGTGCAGTGTCTCCCTGCACGACACTGTCTAGAGCCAAGGTTGCAAGGGGGAACATGGCGGCAAAATCCCATCGACGCCATCCAATCCTGTCATGTCGCTCTAGCGGCCTGTGCAGAACACTCCTCGACGAAGGCAGCAGTTATAGCGTTAAACTTATCCGGTTCCTCGTAGAAGAGCCAATGGCCAGACTCGAACACCTCCTCCTTCGCCAATCCGGGTCGAATCGCGTTCAAGCGCCTTGCGGTCTCTAGCATCCCCTCAAGTGGAAAGCACCCAGATCGGCGCCCGGCCATGACGAGCGTCGGTACGTCAATCATGTCAATGGCCTCGCGGTGGTCATACCGCGTATGATCGGCCATAAGACGTGCGAGCCAGACGGAGTCGCACAGGGCGCTGGTGCGTGTGAAGAAGGCCTCGTCCTCAGCAGCCTGCTCGGGGGACGGGGGCGGCGGACCGTTCTCGCCAGCGGGAGGAGCCTGCCGGTAGCCGAGACAGCCCGCGACAAGATCACGATGAGCAGCGGGCGGGTCGGAGGTCCAGAAGTCCTGGGCCGCGCGCAGGGTGGCCTCGTCGTAGCAGCCGGTGTGGGCGCGGGATGCGTCCCAGCCGCCGCCGAAGACGGAGCGGTCCTGCAGTGGGCCCTGGTCGACGAAGATGAAGCCGGCGAAGTCGGAGGCGGTGAAGAGCTCTACGTAGGTCCACAGGACGGCGGCGCCGATGGAACAGCCGACGGGGACGATGGGCGCGGAGGTGTGGCGGCGGATGTGGGCTAGGAGGTCACGCAGGTCGGCGGCCAGGCGGGCGACGTGGTAACCGCCCGGCGTGCGGGAGGATCGGCCGTGGCCGCGCATATCTGGGGCAATGACCCAGAGGCGCTCGCTCAGAGGGCTGAAGTTGCGGGCGAAGTAGTCGCTTGAACCGCTGAAGCCGTGCATGAGCAGGACGATGGGCGGGGTGTCCGGACCCGGGCTGCGGGACCCGGAGAGGGGTCGTGAGGTTTGGAAAGCCAGGGTGCAGGCATCGTTGGCCACACAGGTCTCGTAATTCATTTTCTTTTTTTTTTCTTCCTTTGGGCTACCTACCTATTTACAATCTCTATCCGCGAGAGAAATTGGCGATAGAGCAGTATATGGGTTCAATATCTTCTCGACGTACTCAAATGAAGATGTTGGGAATGGATGAGAGAGGTGAGAGAATAAAGACGTGAAGATGGAACGATTACTCATCAAGACGTACCGTACCCAACGCCAATTCCCGAAGCCGAACCCCCGGGCGTCAGGGACCTGCACACCCAATGAAGTGTTGCCTGCGGGTTCCCGTGCCAACTCGCCCGCGACTCCACGAAAGTACCGACTCACGCCAGGCGACCACATGGCCCGCGTGATGATAGGCTATGAAGGAGTCACGGTCATACTTGATGCATTCAGCGCGAAGCGAAGTCCGTCGTGTTCAATTCTAGAAGTGCCAGACATTACGGCGTCTCATCAAGTATCAATTTGTTCCTTCTTACGCCGGACTGTACATACCTTAGCGAGCTTGCTTTTGTTTTGCTTCACCTGGCCAGACGCGACGAAGGGAGAAAGATAAATCGACTGATAGACCGAATTTGGCGGACTTGCGAATCCATAAATCCTCCCCAGATTTAAACATATTTATAATTACTACTTACCTGCCATCATGAAGCTTCTCCCCTTATTAACGGTACTCGGCACATCGACATATGGAGCTTTGGCATGGGGAAGTAAGTGATCCAAGTTGCTCAGCTGATTCCTCCATAAAAAAATCAAGTACTCACAAAATCCGTTCTCTCAGGTCTCGGTCACGTCACGACAGCTTACCTAGCAAGCCACTTCGTCTCCAACACGACCGAAGCCTTCTTCCAGGATCTCCTTCGTGACGAGACGAGCGACTACCTCGGCAAGGTGGCCACCTGGGCCGACACCATCCGCTACACCCGCTGGGGGCGCTTCACGAGCGTCTTCCACTTCATCGACGCCAAGGACGAGCCCCCGAACTACTGCGGCGTCGACCTGGCCCGCGACTGCAAGCCCGAAGGCTGCGTCGTCACCGCCCTGGCGAACTACACGGCCCGGCTCCTCGACCCGGCGCTGCCGGCCTGGGAGCGCAACCAGGCCGCGCGCTTCGTCGTCCATTTCGTCGGCGACATCCACCAGCCGCTGCACGACGAGAACGTCGCGCGGGGCGGCAACGGCATCCACGTGCTGTGGCAGGGTCGCCAGTTCAACCTCCACTACGTCTGGGACAGCGCCATCGCCGAGCGGCTGATTGGGGGGAGTCGACGGAAGCCGTACGACAATGCGAGGCGGTGGGCGGAAGAGCTTGCCGTCGAGATTCGGGAGGGCAAGTTTGCCGACGAGAGGGAGGGATGGCTGAAGGACGTCGACGTTGATGATGCGACGGAGACGGCACTGGCGTGGGTGCGGGAAGGCAACGCCTATGTCTGTTCACACGGTGAGTTTTGTTTTCCTGCCTCCCCCTTTCCTTCATATCTTTTTTACGCCGTATTCTGCTTGACTTTGGTTGAGAAATGAGAAATAACGGCGCTCGCTTCCCCTCTGTGACTTTGACTGTTACTAATCGTCCTACGTTTCGCTAGTATTGCCAGAAGGTCCTCTTGTTATCGAGGGACAGGAACTGAGTGGGGAGTACTATGAAAAGGCGGCTCCCGTCATCGAGTTGCAAGTTGCCCGTGCTGGGTACCGGATGGCTGCCTGGCTTGATCTCATCGCGAAGCGGTTCCAGGAACAAGGAGCCGACCGGGTTGAAGGTCCTTGGGAGGAACTTTGAATGGATTGAGCGCACCACGACGACATGACGTTGCACCGTGGGATTTGATGCCATGCCTGTGTGCTTACTGGACGGGGCAGAGCGTGTTTGAAGCGCATGCCAGGGGTAATTGCTGTATCTTACCCCTACGGGAGAACGGCCTTTTCTTGAGTGCTTGGCTAGACTCGAACACGGGACATGCGAATTGGGACACGCCAAAAGACCCAAGTCCATCAGTCCGGTTTGTCCAAGATTTGATATAAAGAGGACGAAGGATCACAAATTCTCCATCGGGTTTCAGTTTCTGGCCCCGCAGTAGGAAAATATCTACATACCATGCAGCAGACAGCGCTGAGTGATCCGTACCTACGAAGTATTTTGGGGTGCTGTCCCGCCAAGAGGGAAAAGGCCCGGTTGCTCGGCCGAGGGAGATATATGGTTCGTTGGCTTTGTTATGAAATTAAAGAGCCTTTTGGTTGGGACAAAGAAGAAACAGGACATGCGAGCGAGGTCGTTTCATCATGCTTTGACCCTGTTTGGGACATGGCGCCGTTGCAGAATGCACCATTCGGTCTAGTCCGGGACAGGGGGGACGGTTGAAGGCTGGGATAGCCGTGGATGATGCCAGGGGTACGTTGTACTGACTGTCGTTTTCTCACCAAGACGAACAGGAAAGGAAAGAGAAAACTAAAGACGAATGTAACCGAAAAAGAAAAAAAAGAAAGAAAAAAGAAAGAAAAAAAGACCATGATTTCACTTGGTATCGACGGCTATGTATATACAAGTTCTGTGTTTCTTGCGATCATGAACTCGGGGGTCTTGTTTGAGTTTGGACTGCTCTTTTGAGAGCCGACTTCTTACTAATACGATGTACATAAAGGCAAGTAAGATACCTAGTTCGGAGTTTACAGGGTAAGACCTAATTATGTGTGTGAGGTGAGCAGAGAATACGACGTGCCTTTGCTGGAAAGGAGCACCTGCAGGACCAGTACGGGCGTTTTCTGGTTTCTCCCCAACCTTTCATCCCATGTCTGTCATCAAAGATGTTTTACTCGATCCTTCGAAACAATTTCAATGTCCAACAAAAGGGGTGCGATCTTGGCTCCCGGCTCGTGGGCTATCGCAACTCGTAACCTGGAAATCCGCACCAAACGGTTATAATGAAGGACTTTGCACTCGGTACCCGTTCTCTGGAAAGATTGGCAGCTTTTTATTAGGGACTACACGAAGTACACGTGTACGTACCGAGATGGATGATCGGCATCGAACATCAACCTACAGAGGTCTCGGGTGTGGTCCTGGCCAATGAATCGTTTATTAATGCGCCCGACGTCGGCCGCGCGCCTGTGGTTCGACAGCGGAGCGGCATCTCAATCGAAATAGGTGAATTAGTGGCTGTAAAACAGCGAGACAGAGAATGACTATTCCCTTTTTTTTTTTTCTTTTTTTTTTTTTTTTGCCGCCGTGTGCCTCACGCGTACAATGTACATTACACTCATCTGTAGGTAATTGCCTTATTGCTTGGTCAATTTACCTTAGATACGCACCACAACCTGTTTCCCCACGTCCTACTGCCAGCAGTTGAACTACCTAGGCACAATGACGAGGTGACATGAGAGATAAGCAATTCCCCTGATCAACGGAGATTCTGGACATGGGACGAATCTGTCAAGTTGCATCCAGGGGGACGGGACGAGAAGCGTTTCTCTGCTTCCATTTCCTTGGCTAGCTATCTGTCGTTGGTCTACATGTTCGCACGCCGTGCCATCAGCCCGTGATGTATATTTTTAGGTGCTGTATATACGAAGGTTTGTAATTACCTACCTAAGGTACATATAGGTACCTTACTAATTAGGTACTACGGTGTAATTACTTCGCAGTCGCGCTCGGACTACTTCGTGCAACGGTGCAGTTGATACTCGGCTGAGGGCCCCGTCGCTTCAGCAGCGCCTGAGAGTGCTTGGCTCGAAACGCCGTAGGCCTTGGCGTCCGCTCTGCAGCTCTACACTACATCCCCCTATTGGTCGAAATATCACCTGGTGGACCCACTGACCCAATTCCGTGACACGGGGAGCCGCATCACGACTTCAGATAATACACCTCCTTGTTCATAGCAGAAACCCCTTCCCTTCCCACGTCTTTTCACAAGTTCTTCCTCTCTTTACCACTCCGACTCAAGGTCTTGGGGTTTGGAGGGGCCAATGCGTTTCTGTGGTGTTCTTCTTCTTCTTGTATTTCGGCCCTTACACCATCTACAGCAGTCCTAGCATAAACCACATTGGTGTCTCTCTCTCACCCAGACCAATTCAGACTTCGAATGGAATGCCACTGATATCTCCCAGCTGTCTTGATACGACATGACGGATAACTAACAGAGATGGTCTTGGAAACCCGTCGTCTTTGACGTGCTGCATGCATCTCAACCTCCACTTCATCCACTTCCGCTTGTCCCATATGGCAATGCCGAGCCAAGAAGTCTTGTGCTCCTGGGGTGGCTTGATCCCCTTCCGGACCTAACGAATAGTAGCATGTGTATCTACGCATACAACGTACCTTATTACGGAAAATGCCCACCTACCTTATTTACCTTGTACCTCTCTCACCCACGAAACCTCTCTACCCATGTCCTTGCGCTTGTTACATCCCAACTTTCTTCAGACAGCGCTGCCGAGATGCCGCCCAACTTTGTCCGTCTTGCCCGTGTCAAACCCCCCCTTCGCTCCTTACAACGTACAGACCAAAGGTCCATTCCTCCCACCATGCCCTTCTCAGCCCTTCTCAGGCCACCCACCCACCCTTCCTCCAAGGGACCCTTGCCCTGTGTTTTGAGATCGTGGAGATCGACACCTCCTTGCCCTCATCTCCATCTTGGTGGGAGGGTCGCCACCTCCAAGTGATGTTCCATCTCTAACTATGGCTCTCAACTCCGACAGGGGGGGATGGTCCTCTCGAGACTATTTTTCAAATAACTCCCCCTTCGACCTCCCCATTCTGATCTCTCCTTTCTTCTATCATTCCATTCTTTTCACCCTTCTTTCACCTACCTTCTCTTTTCTTTCTTCTCTTCACGCTGGGAGTGTCTTTTTTCACGTCCGCCATTCATTTCTTTCTCTTTTTCCAAGGACTGCGTATCCTGAACGTCTGTGACCTTCCTTTCTCTTGTTGAATATTTTCGATTCTATACCCGGTCTGGCACCATCTTTTTTTTTTTTTTTGCGACTTTCTCTGCTGCTGTTTGAACGAGGCACCTAGTAGCTCACAAGAAAACCCATCGACTTCTTTTTCCCGAAAGCTTTCTGCGAGACGACAACGGTTCTGGTCCAGTCATCCGACATCCAGCCCTCTGCTTCTCCTCTTTCCTCGACGTCAACATGCATATTACGCACTTCGTAACAGCCTTGGCCGGCCTGTCCGCCGTTGCCGAAGCTGGCATTCTCAACCGACACTCTTCTCCGTATTCTCGCATGGTCGCCCGTCGGCAATTCGGCGGCGGCTTCAACGGCGGCAACCGTCGCTTTAGGGGCGGCGGCGGCGGTGGCTTCGGCGACAGTACGACCAACCTACGCGATTAAAATTTCGGGCACTTCGCTAATACAATGGCCAGACAATAACAACGACAACAATAATAACGACAGCAATAACGATGGAAACAATGGAGACAGTAAGTCGGCTCCAGACTCCAGACATTGCTTCTAGGCGTACTAGCTACTAACCACGTATAGATAACAATGATGGCAACAACAGTACGGCTTCCTGTAATGATGTTTATTTCTGATCCTTGTAGCTGACATGGAAGTCTAGATGACGGGAACAACGACAACGACAACAACAACGGTGACAACAACAACAGTGACAACAGTGAGTGGCACACGATCACTGATTTTCCGCTATGTACCCTGGCTAACCATAAGTTCAGACAACAATGATGGGGGTAACAACGACGGTGGAAACAACGGCAACGACGGCGGAGTAAACACCTGTCTCGTTCCTGAACTCATCCAGCAGGGCTCCAACCAGCCGGGTCAGCCAGGTGAAGGTGGCGTCGAATCCGCCGTGTAAGAAATCCCGTTGCAGCTTACTAGGCGGCAGAGCGTCCTGGCTAACGTATGTCTTGTTAAACAGAGATGCCGCCAACTTCATCAACTTCTGCCAGGGCCAGGAACTCACCAACGGCGAGCAGAAGACCGGCGGTTCCTGCAACGGTATTCCCATGGGCCGCATTCCCGCGCAAAACCGGATGGTCTCCAGCATCCTGGTCAACCCGTCCCACGACGACAGCATCGAGCCGAACGTCGACTTCGACATTCAGGTCCGCGTCGCCAACTTCGCCCCTGGCGCCTTCACTGACGCTCAGACCACGTACTACTCTTCTCCCCAGGACCTCGATGGCGCGGGCCGCATCATTGGGCACACCCATGTCACCGTGCAGGACCTTGGCGGCTCTCTTACCCCCGATCAGCCCCTCGATGCCTCCACCTTCGTCTTCTTCAAGGGTATCAATGACCAGGGCGACGGCAACGGTCTGCTGTCTGCTACCGTGACCGGTGGTCTGCCTCCCGGCAACTACCGTGTCTGCACTATGTTCGCCGCTGCCAACCATCAGCCTGTTATTATGCCTGTCGCTCAGCGTGGTGCCCAGGACGACTGTGAGTTTCTCGGCCTTTTTGATCCAATTCTCTCTCCCTGCCGCCCTTCCCTCTAGGTTACTAACACAAGAAATAGGCAATAAGTTTACTGTTGGCCAAGGCAATAACAATGGTGGTGGTAACAACAACAACAACGACGGTGGTAACAACAACAACAACGGTGGTGATAACAACAACGACGGTGGTAACAACAACAACGACGGCGGTGATGACAACAACGACGATGGTGATGACAACGACGGTGGTGACAACAACAACGGCGGTGATGACAACAACGGCGGCGGTGATGATACCAACGGCGTTGATGACAACAACGATGGTGGTGATGATACCAACGGCGGTGGTGACAACAACGACGGTGGTGATAATACCAACGGCGGTGGTGACAACAACGACGGTGACAACAACAACGGTGGCGGCTTCCCCAACTTTGGCGGCGGCGGCGGCCGTTTCAACGGTGGTAACAACAATAACAGCAACGGCGGCGGCAACAACAATAGCGGAGGTGGCGGCTCCGGCGGCGCCTCGGCCGCCAACGCCATTGCCGGCATCGCCGCTCCTGAGATCACCCAGTCCGGCAACGGGGACCGGCCCTTCCAAGTCAACGGCAACACCTTCACGGACCAGCAGACGGCGGCAGTGCGCGCTTGCGACATCCAAAGCAACTTGTGCAGCGACGCCGTGAACGGGGGCCAGGCCCCCGGCTCCACGCTGCAAAGCTGCCGGGACCAGATTCCAGCTTGCGTAGCTGAGTTGTCATAGGCCTCTGTCTGGAGAGTCAACTGGCAATGATGGCCACTGGCGGATCGTCGTTCGGCTTCCGTTGCCAGTCGTTCTACGTTGAGGGGTTTCTACACACACACACACACACACACACACACACACACACAGGGGTTTGTTGTGCTAGGTTGTGAAGAACCAGCAAAATATCATTGTTATATCTTCTAATTGTTTTTCCTAGGGTTAATTTTTTTTTTGTTGTTGTAGTTTCCTGTTGATGTGTTTGTACACTCTTAGAGAGGAGGAGGGGTTTGTTTATGACCTCCTATGGGGGCTGGAATTATGCAGCTTGAAGGTATGAAGGCGGAATGAAAAGACACATCCCAGCAAAACCTCAATCTCCCATTTTTCGCGTGACATGTGTGGTGATGGCATTGATTTCGAAATTCCGTATGTAAACTATGAAACGAGAGCTGTTCGGCACTTCACTGCCCCGAGTTGCATCCGGACAGGCCGTTTTCGAGCATCAGGTGACTCTTTTCTTCTTTCTTTCTTTCTGAAACGGCATTATCTTGTGACGAAAGACTGGTTTCAGCCGTGTTCCCTGAGGGCATATATGAACGGGGAGTTAGATACTACGTTGTATCAAAGGTCGACCCCATGATACGGGGATCTTTGCTTCATGATACCTAGTGTACATCATTGCCCTCGTGGAGGTCGAGGTTCTTCACGGATTGGGTACCCGCTAGCCACCGGATACCGTTGAGAATGCGCACACTAACCACCTCATTGATTACCTGTTTACTCGATGAAGACTTTGATGCTCTGGATCAGTTTGGCTTGTGATGGATAAGGAATAGACGTCTTACCTAAGCGACATGCTTCGGTTGAGAGAGGTGGCGCTCCTGATTAGATAAGCTCTGACACATCGTACGGGGCGGAACGAAACGTTCCTCGTTCTGCGCAGCAGTTCCTCCGCAACTGACGCGAGATTCTGAGGGAGAATTCACTCTTATTATGGTCTGCCGTAAGAAGCAGAAACGACCGAGTACTCGAATGGAGACAGAAACAACAGAAAAAATAAACATTACACGATCACTACGGAGTAACGGTGGGCGGTGTGATGTGAGGTCCATAATAATTAATGTTGGCAATGGGTGGAGTTAGACGGCCATTATTCCATTCAACTTCTCCAGAAACGAAACAAACATGCATCTCCATCGCGTGTCGACACATACGTGGTTGGAAAGAAGGTTAAGAGAGGATGAGTTCCACGTTACTGAATTCCAGCCGGAAGCGGGGAAAGTCGGGCGCTATTTGCAATACATACACACACCTATGCGGTCCGCTGACGACAAGTCAGTCCTCTAATCGAGAGTTCACCGGTGCACTAAGTCGTCGTGGCGGACAACGGGCCGGTTGGCACCAGAGAGCTACAAACCCCGATTCGTCGATTACTGAGTAGTGACACTAGTGTAGACAACGTCGCGTCTAGAACCAGTGCGAGAGGCGGAGGCATGACGACACGCAAGACAACGGTTGCGCTGGCGAGACTACGCGTGTAGAGAGCGAGACTAGAGAGCGAGATATGTGGTCCGGCTTGCTAGCAGATGTTTGATCCGAATGTTCCGAAACGAAAAGGCATTTTATTGACGAAGCCGATTCTTTGGGCCTTATTAGAAAACTGCCAATTTTGACGTTTTCTTTTCTTATTAAAAATCTTGTCGTTGCATAGCGTTGGATAGCTCCAGACAGCTCTTCACAATCTCGAGGCCAAGTGTTCTGAGATGCGCAAGACAACGCTCCCCTACCCTCCTTGGCATCATTCTCAATTTGTCATTGGACAATGCCACGCGGGTTACGTGGCTCAGCCTCTGAATCGCTGGGCCCAGAATGCAGATCGCGGTTTCCGATACAACACATTGGATGAACCAATTAGAGCCCTCCCATTCCTTTGTTCAGCTGAGAAGCTGAGAACGAAGCTGGTGAATGTACAGAGCAGCTGTCGCTTTCTCTTGAATATACCTAAAGATATGAACGAGCAGAGGAGAGGGTCTTGGAATTGACTCGCGAGACGATGCCCCGGCTTGATTCTTTGGAGCATGACAATGATAAATCCAGCGTAAAAAAGAAAAAAGAAAAAAGAAAAAAGAAGAAAAAAAGGAAGAAAAAAAAAAAGAAACACCAGAAGGTCGACTGCACAAAAGAGGAGCCAGCCTGGAAGTGGATATTACCATCCTTTTGCCTTTGCCCAGACAATGGAATTGCGGATACCAAACACCAAGCATCTTAGTCTTTGAAGATCTGGTGTCGCTTCAGACTCAGACTCAGCATCAGCACAGTAAGCAACATACATGTGAGGGGACCCTAAGATGAAGCCAGTCATCCTATAAGCCAGTGAGGTATTCTGTATTATTCTGTACTATTCTGTAGCGAAAGGCGAAAGAATGAACCCATGGTCCTCTCATGAAGCTGCACCGCCGCCTGTGGACGTAGAATAAATGTCTGAGAAGTTTACTTCATGTACACGTGTAGAACCCGAGTCGATGAAGACATGGTTGGATCACTCCCCCTTTTCATCTCTCCACCCATGATGCTCCGCCCCTCCATAAACCAATGCTAGCTAGCCGGGGTCTTGGCCCTTGCGAGCGTTTGTATGTGTAGGTAATCGAATCGACTCGCATGCCGAACTGGGAGCTTTGCAGCTTTGCACCCGAGTGTTAGTCGCGGAGATGGGTAGGCAGGGGTGCTTGAACTCATCTTTTTCCCGCTCCCCCCGGTATGGAGTCGTTCTTCGTTGGTTAAACCTACGACCAACACCTCCAACGGACTCTTGAGGTGCTTCCTCATCTGGACCCCTTTCTCTTCTCTTCCTTCTTTTTTTCATCTTTTTTGTTTCAGGCTCTGTTCTAGGCCTGGGTACTGCCGATTCTTTCCTCTGTTCTATTTTTCTTTTCCTTCCCTTTCTGTGTGTTCTTCTTGTACTCTTCGTTTGTATTAAAACGCTCCGGCTGGAGCCGAGGACAGCTGCATCACCAGCTGCGCTCACACATCCGCAGCGATGGCCGCCCTACGCGTGGCCCTGTATTCTACTTGCCTCGCGGCCTATGCTTCTTCTGTTCTCTCTCTCCCCCGAGACACCACAACAGGTCCCAGCGCCAAGCACGCGCCTGTGACACTCCCCTTGTACCAAGACATTCGAATCGATAGCATAGACAAGTTGAGAAGGAAAAGGCAGAATGAGAATGACGACACCACCGCCCGGATCATCAATGTCACCTCCACGAGCTACTTGATCGAACGTACGGCCCTGATCCCCATCTCCTTGCGACCCCCGCTAGCACTTATAGAAGAGAGAAGAAAAAAAAAGAGTCGGGAGCTGACCGTTGGTGCAAATTCCACAGTGGCGATCGGAACCCCCGGCCAAGACTTGAGGGTCGCCCTCGACACAGGATCATCCGAGCTCTGGGTGAACCCCAACTGCCAGAACGCCGGCAGCCCATCGCAGGAGCGCATCTGCGAAACCCATGGCCATTACCGACCCGCCGATTCGGATACCGCCCGCGTGTCCCAGACGAGGAGTACCATCTCCTACGGCAAAGGACAAGTTGCGCTCCAATACGTTGCCGATAACATTGCGGTACCCGGCACCGGTAAGCGCGTTGATTTCCGCCGATGGGTAGAGGAGGAGTGGAGTGGAGTGGAAAGGGAAAAAAAAAAAGAGGGGGGGCCCGAGGAACCCGAGGATCGGAGACTGACGGCTGGCTGCATAGATATCACGATTTCGGATGTTATTTTCGGGTATGCCACCAACAGCAGGCAACTGAGCACGGGGATCATGGGCCTCAGTTTCGGAAACGGCACGAACATGGCGTACCCGAGCGTCCTGGACGAGATGGTGGCACAAGACATCATCGAAACCCACGCGTTTGGCGTGGCGCTGGGTACCAAGGACGAACCCACCGGCACCGGTGTCATTTCCTTCGGCGGCGTCGATACCCAGAAGTTCAGCGGTGACCTGCATACCATGCCTGTGTTGGGCCCTCAACACGGCGAGCGACTTTGGCGGTGAGTCGTCCATTCTTTCCCATCCGGGAAAAAGAAAAAAAAAAGGAAGAAAAAGGACAAAAAAAGGAAGGGGGGGCGTGACAGTCCTTTTCGGTAATTGGCAGACGTCATCTGACTTGTGTTCCCTCCGCGCAGATACTGGGTCCAGCTCGAATCAATGGGCCTCACAATATCCGGCGGCGGCGGCACCGAGTTGTACGACGGCTCGAGCTTCCCCGTCTTCTTCGATACCGGCGCCACCCTCAGCTACCTGCCCCGCCCAGTGGTGCAAGCCCTCGCCGAGGACCTGGGCGGCCAGCTCGACCCGGACGTCGACTTGTACGTGGTGCCCTGCGGCCAGGAGGGCACCGTGGACTTCACCTTCGCCGGCTACACCATCAAGGTGCCCCTGGAGGAGTTCATCTGGACGGTGGGCCAGGACACGTGCATCCTCGGCGCCGACGCCGAGGAGAGTCAGAACTACCTCCTGGGCGATTCGTTCCTCCGGTCCGTGTACACCGTTTTCGACATGGAGACGCCGGCGCTCCACTTTGCCCCGTATGTCAACTGCGGCTCGAATGTGCGGATGATCCCGCCTGGTCTCAACGCGACGACCGAGTTTACGGGTGAATGTAGCAGCAGTGACTCGGGCTCTGGTGGTGATGGTGACAACGGCAACGGCAGCGGCAGCGGTGGAGGAAGCACAGGAGGGGGTGGTGGCGATGGCGATGGCGGTAGCGGTGATGGCGGTGGTGGTGATGGCGATGGTGATGGCGATGGTGATGGTGATGGTGATGGTGATGGCGGTGTTGGTGGTGATGGTGATGGCGGGGGTGGCGGTAGCTCAGGCGGCCCCGGCGGCTCAGGCTCTGGGGGTGACGGGGGCGGCGATGGAGGTGGTGATGGGGGCAGTGGAGGTGACGGAGGTAGCCCCGGATCCGGTAATGGAGACGGCAACGGCGGTGACGGTGATGGCGACAGTGCAGCTGGCCATCTAACACCCATGCGAAGTCTCTGGGCCGTTGTTGCAGGCTCGATGGCGGCGTATCAGGCTATGATGCTCCTATAGGCCCATTAGAGATGATGGCATGGGAGCAGCCCCTTTGGTATATCCCCGTTTGACGGTTGTGGGCACAAGATCTAGGCATCTTGTCGGTCGGATTTATTGGTTTCTGGTTCACTATCGGCGTCTTTGGCCATGGAGGAAAGAACGGGAACCCCGCGAAATGGAAGACATATGGGTTTAAAATGGGCTCTGGACGGTTGACAGGATATAGACCGGGCCCGGGCCAAACACGGTCAGTCGACGACGTGCCCATCACATACAACGTACGGGCGGCCCATCCTTAATGTATTGTATATAGATGATATGACATTCGCTTGGTGTCCACTTTGACCATAGGATCCAGCGGTATAACTAGGGATGCAGGAATCCTTTCACTCTGGGATGAGGTAAGATGTTGTTGTAGGACGGACTCAACTCTATATTGTCGGGATACGAGAGATAAATGGTGGATTTTGTGGAAGTTCTTATTCCGCTCCGGTGAGCGACTTCAAACTCCAATATCCTAGAAAGGACAAGGCATCTACAGAGTATAATGTGAAGAGAATTGAAGTGAAATGCTGGTACGCTTGCTGGTTTATATTAATTGAATTTGAGTAGGTCACGGCTCACTTGATTCCTGAATGACACAAACAGTAGGCCTCGATCCGACTTGATCCAACAGTCCTTCAGATGTCTGTCAGACGGTCGAGCCATTCCCCTGGAATGTACTATGAAGTCTGTATGTGCGAATGAAATATATATGTATATGCTGCCCAAACGACGCCCACCCCATCGTAAAGTCTACGAAGTCGAGTCGGCCATCGTTATCGCAGCCACTTCGCTATTTTGTCCCCTGGGAGCCATAATCGTCCGTCCCTCATCGTAATTTACGAGCTTCGCAGAGGGCTACAGAAAGTCAGTTCAGAAGATCATCATGAATCACAGGCTTCGGCGACAGGACGAGGGAGGGAAAAAAAAACATAGAAAAGCGTATGCGGAAAGGGAGGCAAAAGGGAAAACTCACGCGCAGCCTCGAGGAGTAACAACACCGAAGAAACAATCTCCACCCGTCTTTTCAACGACCTGATCCTGGGTGACGGGAGTGATGACCACCCCTGCGGACACCAACGGGGCCATGCCGAGGGTGAGAGTGAGGGTGGCGAAGACGGACGTGATAGAGACGCGCATTCTTTCGGTTTCCGAGGCAGGTGAATCGGTTGGTGTCTTGGTGTTGCCAGTTGGCTGTTGGGACTAGGTTTCTCTCCGGATTAACTCCTGGAGTTGTACGATCGATGCTGGAGATGGTGGATGGATGGATGGATGGATGGATGGTGAGAGGGCAGTAGGTCTCTGTGCCTTGGTTCGCGACGATGAGCAGACGCAATATCGACCCGGAACAGACAGTTATCGGCTGATGTGCGTAAATATATAGGGCGAGACGGACGAAGATTCGAATATTGAACTCAGTCCAGCTGACACAAAAGAAGCGAAGGGCTTTCGAGGTGAAGATTCAGAAATGAGTCGATATAATTAAAATGAACCAGTCGTCCGTATTGCGCGAAAAGAACAGTCGAAAGGCTACCAGAACTACTAGAAGAAAAAAAGAAGAAGAAAAAAAAAAGGAAAAAAAAAAACCTGGGGAGGAAACAGAGAAAAAGAGGTCAGTATTGGCAGGAGGTTAGGGAGGGGCGTGGTCCATATTTCGTTACAGTCTCATACCGCCGTCGCTTAGACGCACAGGGGGACCCGCCCAAGATGTGATGGTGATGTACGGAACACACGATGGTTGGTTTGAAGGTCTGCGTCTCTGGCTTGTCTCGCCTGGCCCCTCCCTCCTCCGTGTGGACTAAATAAGTACCTTTTCCAGCTTGAAAGCTACGACAGATACTTGAGGACCTGAAACAAGGAGGGGGACCCTGCCAATGGAAGACCAGTGGGCGGCTACGGCCATTTGACCAGTCTCCGCAGTTGGGTTGGCACAGCCACATAATCCCACGGGGTGAGGATCTCAGCCACACATACTCGCCTCACTAGATGAGCTACGTGATCCACTCTCGCGCAACCTCATGCTCAATGGCAATCGCAGATTGGTAATTACGTTGTACGTGCCTCTTCAATCCAGTTGCCGCAGCGTCCAGTTCTGAAGTTCAGCGCGAATCCGTCATCACTGCTGTTTACCTGTCTGCCATTCGTCGCTTCCGAAGAGCCATTCTATTCCGATTCCCCAGACACAGACAGTGTTCAAAGATGGCGAGCAAGAGGGATATGCGCCGGCCGGACCTCAGTATGCCTTGTCCCCTTCCTCGCAGCTCGTGCCGCGAATTTCTTTGCCTCTTAACTGACATATCGTGCCGCTGCAGTCATCCCATATGTGGAGCCGAAGCCGAAGGAGACCCCCGAGTTCTCGTCGACCATTTCCAGCACCCTTCCCATGGCCGTCATGCTCACTCGTAACCGATTCATTGGATGGTGCGCTCTCTCTCTCTCTCTCTCTCGTGACGTTTCGTCGAACATCCTGCACCACAACATGCGAATAAGAAGCTTATGCGGAGTGTTTGTGTAGGGCATCGGTCGTCTACAGCATCCAGACATGGCTGGGCGAGAGCGAGGAACAGAAGAAGACGGGCAGCACACCCGGAATCTTCAATGTCTCCATGTCTTGTATGCTTCAACCTTCAACCATGACGCCCCTATCCGCTTTGAGATGGGTTTCTCTGGTCTATTTCCCGCCGACACTAACTTTGGTCTTGCGACAGTCCTCGCGCTTTTAGTCACCTACATCCCTCTGTTTTTCCCAGGCAAGCCCAACCTCGGCGCCACAGGCACTGGTCCCGCCGCCGCTGTTCCTCCTTCGTAATAGACCGGATATGATATACACGGGATTATGGCTTGTGAACTTCTTCAAGTGGCAGACGGCGGCGTTTCGCTGGCAGCCAGGATTTCGAGAATAGGCGACACGAGCGGCCGTTGATATGGGTACGGTCAATCATATCCTAGCGGAAGTGGAGTACGCGAGGTTCGCCGTCTATCTGGCCCAGTTTTGGCCTTCTAATATGTGTCTCGCAACTGTATAACATTTACTTTATTGGATACCATCAACCTACTATCAAATCTTTGTGGTCATGTTTAGTGGGTGCAATGCCCGGTGCATTTCTCCTACTACCTCGCCTGCCTCCATTGCTCCTATAATCGCAAGGATTACCAGATGACCGATAGGTTGATCCATTGCCGGGCCGCGCCTCTCTCGGCGAATAAATAACGAACAGAAGGAGCCCGTGGGTAAAGGAGGAAGGTCCACCACTACCACGACTGATTGGTGACTGCAGTGAGATGCAACGACGCCTACACGGTCGAATCGCTGCTTTGTACAGTGATTTTGAAGTTGGAGGAACAGGAAAGGCACAGGGGAGGCACGAACTGGCGGTGGATATCGAGACAACACAACGAACGCATCGTTTCGTTCTCATTTCGTGCCGAGACCGATGTCAGCCGGTACAGGCATAGGTGTTGCCATGTCAGGGCAGAGCACACAGAATGGGAGGTAAATGTGCTGGTGGTCCGCTAGCGAGACGACAGGAGGACAGAAATACACGTTCTGTCGCACCCAGATCCGTCCCGCTGATTGAGTCTGGAGCTGGAAGCAAGGCACGTCTGGGTCTGTTGTAGCATCGCACCGTAGGCTTATGGGCTACTCGTATGCGAATTCGCGTTGTCGTTGAGGAAGTGACGTCGGCAGGCAGCAATACGGGGACGGCGACGGCAGCGGCAACTTCGGAGAATGCAAGCAGGACATCACTGTTGGGTAAGGTGGACGGACGGTGGCTACGGCGACGGTCATAGAGCGGAACAGGCGGCGAAATGGCGACTTGAAATCCCGCCCCCCGTGTCTACCTTGGGTATTCATCCATGTGACATGAGTACATGGGCCTTTTCACCCTCTTAGGGTTATCCATATCATATATGACGGATGTATCCGTTAAGACAGGCCGTTTGGGAAAGGGAGCGGCCTCGAAGAAGCCATCCGTCTTGACACGACGGCCCAAGGACGAGCGTTGTTTTGGTGGTATGGTGGCCAGAGAGGAAGGAAAGGCAACCGTCTAGGATTCGTGAGATAAGAGTTGCCTTCGAGTTGTGGAATCAAAATCCCACATGGGGCCAAGGGGATGCGCCTAAACATCGCAGGCTCGGCGAATCACAGCATCAAACGGTTCATTGCAAATTCCTTGACCAGAAACACCCCCCCC